AAACTAACACTTTTGTACAAACATTCAGAATCCCCAGAGGTTGAAGCCGAATGACCACCAGCAGGTCAACATGTTCACGTATCCTGTGAAATATCTCAACATCTGCTTGATGGATTAGCACAAAATCTGGTACAGACGTTCATGGTTCTCAGATGATGTATCCTAATGATTGATGCACACATTTGAGCATGTTAACACGCTAAACTAAGATGGTGGACATGCTAAACAATATTGCTCCTAAATCAGCATATTAGCATCAGGACTGTGAGCTTGTTCGCATGCTGATGTTGGCATTTGGCTCAAAGCACTGCTGTGCCTCACAGAGTTGCTCGTATGGCTGTTGACTCTTAGTCTTATCTCCTCACTCTCCAGGTGAGTGGAGAAAAAGTTTTATCTCGATGTTATACAGTGGACAGTGAAGTTGCCTATTTAATCTCAAGGCCAAACTCTCAATGGGTGATCTCCTCGCTCTGAGGAAATGATCCCTGAACATCAGAGGTGACAGGGCATTCAATGCTTTGAATTGACCCAGTGTTCCTAATAAGACTGACACCGTTTTATTGGCGTACGCGTGGTACAGTCTAAAGCTATGAAAACTATGAGGACATAAATGGGAAATGAGGATAATTAAAAGATGGGAGGAGCGTTGAGGAAGAAGCAACGGTTCAACCAAGCATTTTTTTTCTTTGCTCTCTTTTGTATTCTCTTGGAATAAGCGTTGGCATAAAACAGCTCTGGCAGCTTTTTGAAGGACTGGCAAGCTTTTCTGCAGCCTAGGCTAATGGAGTATTATCTACAGAGCCAGATTCCCAGCTCCAATTGTGTATGTGTTTGTGTGTCGGTGTGTGCACGCTTTGGCACACAGTGTGTGGTCTGCCTGTGTGTGTCCTCAATGCAGACGTCCATATAAATAATGTTTTGGAAATGTTGCATGGGCTAACAGCGGAAAAGGTCATAGAAAATTGCCAAATTCATGCTCTCATTGTATTTGCCAGGTGAGCTTCCAGGTTAGCATGTTATTTTCCTGCCATACACCCACATATGTCAATGTGCCCCATGAACCCCCATTTGATAACATTTTGTTGCAAAGCACCCATTCTAAGAAAGCAAAGAGAAGAAGCTGTTTTCTCATATGAGTTCCAGACAATGACAATGAGAAGGCAGGATGATGAGATCAAGCTAGGGAAGTCTTGAACAAAATGCTCTTGTACATGTACGTGTATGTCGAGTTTCTCCGTGCACCTCAGAAGGGTCTCATAGCCAACCTTTGGAACCATGGTTTATAAGCGACTGTGTTGGGTAGCTGATTTTTTCACCTCATTTGTCAAACCTAAAAGTTGCCATTGTGTTTGTGGGGCTTTAGTGAGTGTGACCAAAAGAACATTTTATTTAAACCCCTAGCTAATTCTTGTCTAGACAAAGCTAGCAGCTAGTGATTCAGTGGGAAGGATTATCTGGACTCGTTCTATGTCTGATGGGTGCAAACCCCTAAAACCTTCATCCTCCCCTGATCAACAGCAGCTGACTGATCAGGAAGGATAAAGAAACATATCAATCACAACTAGCCTCTTCTGGCTGCTCAAGCAAGTATGATCTGTGCAAGTAAAGTGTCCTATCAAATAGTTACTTGTTTGTACCTGTAATGTACTTTTGTTGTCCATAAACAACATCACAAGTGACTGAAATGGCTCCAAAGCCCCTGCTATTCTCTTGACAGCTTTAATATACTTAAGAAATAATGAGTGAGATTGGTACGTGAGCCAGACACGCTCGGCTGGCTGGCTGTGTGATTGCGCGAGCCAAGCTAATCAGCACAGTTCCTTCTTGTTAATCCATTAATGTACTACACAAGACAATCTGTCAGGAGGAATTCAGGTGTGAGGTGGAAATGCCAGCAGACTGGCAGCCTGTCAGTTCCTAATACCCCTACTCTAAGGACTATGTTGTTGCATGTAGTGATACTTTTGTTAGAGTTGTGATTCTGACTGGCAGGAATCTAATTTAAGTGTTGGGCAATTACTGTTTGAAATGTAATTCTTTGGTGTAAAGAAGGGGTTGTCAGTTTCAGTCACTTTTCTCAGTGCTTGTCTCTTGATGTCTCCCTTCAATAATTATATTTACAGATCTGATAGCTTCCCCTTGTTGCCTGATAGTATTGTCCATCTCTGGCAATTTACATTAACATTTACAGTGAGCTAATGCTGTGGTACTGTTACCATCTGAGTCCAGTTCTTCCATTGATGCTCAATACCAAAGAGGCATGCCTGGTTCAATAAGCAGCCTGCTGCTCGGTGCAGGTCATTGACCATTGTAGCTGCAGTTGAGTGCTTGAGCATAATGCTACCTCTGATACATGAGCTATTTATGTTGTGTGGTCGTCTTCGTTCCTAATTAGTTTGTTTATCCTCTTTAAGCCACTCTTATCTTTTCACATTTGCTCCTCTGGGGAAAGTTGGCTACATATGTATATTAGCATCTCCTTACTTGGTAAATGAACCCAACACCCCTCCTGTGGTGCCCACTTCATGCACGGTCCGATTCTCATTTACATTTTCATGTATTCTGTGTCTCTCAGCAGCGGGAGAGGTTTCTCCGGCACAGTGACACTGGTCCCAGCCCTGCAAGTGACTGGCCCTCACCAGACTCCACCACTTCACCTACTAGTGCCAGGTCCACCAAGGACGGCAGCAGCGGCTGTGCTAGACCAAGAGCGTGGAGCGTACGCACCTTCCAGGACTTCCTCCCTCCACTCCCGCAGCTGCATAAGAAGTGGTGCAGCTGGAACTCCACCAGTCCCTTCACCAAGCTAGTGGACAGCGTCAGTACCAGAACCTTTGCTGTGTTTTCATACCCAGGGCCATTTGAGATTGATAAGGGGTGACCACTGTTTGCGTGTCAGCAGTTGCTTGGGATAATCGCCAATATGAAAGAGCTAATCTCAGGGATTGTTGCTTGACCTACAGAATACCCCAAATGACATTGTTATCTCCCTTACCTTTTGTGGTACGTGGAGATAGTTTTGGTTTTGCATAATCAACAAGTCAATCCAGGTATTGTGCATGTTGGCTTACTGAGACACTTAAATACAATGGAGTCGTCGTTAGTGTTGTTACACCTGTGCTTATCATACCATGACAATCAAAATGCCCATTGTTAGAAAACTCGAGGGGCACTCAACTGTCACTGTATCATTGCAGGCTCCATCCAGTTTGATGGCTGATGGCAGGGGAGGAGACAACAGGAAGGTCTTCTCTGAGGTTCACTTGGAGGCTAACGCAGACACCAGTGTCATCTCTGACTCATCCATCAGCAATGCTTCCTACCCACTTACGCAGCCTGCCCAGAGGCAGCGGCGTCTCAATTCTACCAGTAACCTGCGGCGCTCACGCTTCACGGGGCCTTGCTTTGGCCTGCTTTCTGGAACAGCAGACCCAGTGAAGGCCTCTGGGGTTCCTCAACCCCAGGGAACCCCCTCAGAGCCCAGCAATGGCTCTTCTTCCTCCACCCAGTGTCAGATGGAGAGTGGCCAGGCCGGAAAGCGGCGTGATTTCCCAGGTGAGGGTGATCACGTCAGCGTGCCGGTGTTTGCCATCTCTGAGGAGGAGGACCGGCAGCCTTTGGTCTCAGCTGAGCACCTGGACCAGATGTCTGCCTCTGCTGTACTGAATGGACTGGTGAGGGGAACATATGAGGGGAAGAGGCCTGCAGTAGGAAGCACCAGCCACAGCCCCCAGAACCAGAGAGCCAGGCCAGAGTGGAGGCCATGGGGGAGCCAGGTGTCAGGAGGGGCTGGTCCACTCCCTTCCATCACACCCACCACCATGACCGAGTCAAACACAGTCAGTGACAACCAGTTGTGTCTTGGGCAGTCAACAGCGCTGTGTAGTGTGACCAACCAGATTTGACCAGATGGTGAAAAAAGGAGGGACTCTGTTAGTGCTATTTTGTAAAATATATAACCTACTTCTTTCATTTCTGAAATCATCAATCTTTTACAAAATTACTACAAATTCTTTTCACTCTAGTTGATCTTTATTTTTTATAAAGTTGTGTTTGGACAAAGATGGAATAATATGCTGCTTACTATGCCCAGGCACTGACTGCTGTGGTGTTGTTTAAAGAAGATGACTGATTGCAAACATGAACACAAAAAGTATTTTCTCTGCGAGTACTTCATAACTCCCAACTCTTAGAAGCACTTTGCAAACAGATTTATTAACCAGTTTGATGCTATTCTGTGAGTTATAATACTCCAACCATTGCACTTTGCTTTCAATAGCTCATTCATTGTGGATTTTGTGCTGCCCTGTGCCAGCTCTCCGCTTTTTCCTTAATGTGGTTCTTCACGTGGTTATTTTTTTTTTTAGCACAGGCTAATGAATGCTTATACAATTATCCAAAAGTGTTCTGCAGAACATAGATCATACATTAATATCAATGCTGCAACAGTGTATGCATACAGTATGTACTCCTAAGGCTGATATTGGATTATAAAAGGGAAATCAAAATAATGTAAAAGCATATACAGCACTAATATACACTATTATCTAGTATAAAGAGAACTAGCAATCACAATAGTATTTAAAATGAGTTATGAATTAATGTAAAGTTTTAATAAAGGCTATGTCATTCACATGTTTTGTCCTTGATCTGATGGAAGTTGTTACTATCAGTAAGAACCTCAGACACCCTTGGGACAAAACTGGACTTATAAGTCAGGATCTTTTGTCTGACTTGTGAGTCTTTTGATCCAGGAACTGTTGACGTTTATTTATGAATGTGCATGATCCCAATCTAAGTTTGTCTTCAGTAAAACTGGAAAGTTTCAAGTTTCCACATCACACACTTACCTAGCTGTGATGTCACAAAATCATGATTTAAACTCAGATTTAAGGTGACTATAGAGAAATGTTTCCCATACAAACAGATGAATGTGAAACCGCTTTTCTTTGCACTACAGTTAAGCACAAACACATTTCTAAGAAGCAAGCCAGTTTCTACAGACAGCTATATCAGTCTTTTAATTTTTAAAGGTAAACAAGCAAATCAGATCATACGCATTTCAAATACAGTTTTAGCATTGCTAATACAACATAAAGGGTAAAGAAGCATTTATCAAACTCTCAAACATATTTCTCAAACTTAAGTCCTCTCAACAATTTTTGCATGTGCCTAGTGCTACTCTATAGTGATTTAACTAGAAGTGGATTATAGTCTAGACTAATTGTTCAAATAGTGCATTGCATACAAAGTTTACAGGCATCTGTGAGGACGTCCAACCCTCATACTGCGAGATGCATGTCCAGCTTTGAACTGACGTGACTCTGATGCCCGTTCAGTCTCCCATATTCCTGGAAGCTGTGATGAGGTAGAATGAAACCTGCCTCTTCCATACTGCTGAGCAGCTTGGTCCAGACTTTTGCACAAAAGGTGAGTAAATATTTGCCTTAATATACAACATACGCCTGCACATCCCACCCCAGGGAGAATGCAAAGCACTCCTCCAAAGCTTCTTTAATACCAATTCCTGATTGGAGCGGCTTGGGACTGTTGTTGGCTTAGGGTCCCCAGATCTCCTGTAGGGAATAATTAAAACTCAGCCACTCCGTCGGGGGGATCGACTAGGCTTGTGCTGAGGGCCTGAGCTGCTAAGGAATGCCAATGTGGACCCACCATGACTTAGGGGGCCAAAAAAAAAAAAAAAAATCATCTAAACCACCTTGCTAACGCCACAGATGAACTAAGGAGCTCAGACACAGGCCAGGAAAGTGCCCATTCACAAACCACCAAAACAAAATATGAAGAGCCGTATTCCAAAACAACACATACTGCTAATGCCATTGATAGTATATTCCAGAAACGCACAGAATTTTCTTCAATTCAGCACTTAAACTATCTTGGATAACCTTTACAAAAAAAGTTTATTTTTCACATTTGCATTTTTCTTTTTGATGTATATCTTATTTTGGAATGAAACCCTTCATATGATTAAAAGTCAGATATTATGAGCCAGAGTATTGACGTCCCATATACTGGATACAGACCCCTTTTATAGGATGTTGGCTTCATATCATGGGTTCACCTGGTAGGCCAGTAAAGAAACCTTTAAATATGTATGAAACAAATATGTGCAAATATCCTCATAATTGTACAATATAGACACAACTAGCAAACAATCTAAATAAACACTGAAAACAGGATTAATGTTTGTGTGAAATTATACAAAATGAACTAATGCAAGCCAGGCTCTGCTTTTAACATTTTCTACTCCCCCCTATTCTACACAAACAATGACCCTACAAAAAGCAAACAAGGGAATTCAAGACTATTATTTCATCCTTGTATTTGAATGTTAAAGGCCTCTTGAAACTACAGGATGTCCCTATTTCACTAAATAAGTAAAAAAAAGTCAAATTTTTACAGTTGACATCAATACTAGCTGTGCATGTTTGCATGATGGGGACATACTGACACTTGGGTAATGATAGTCATAAATGAGACATAATCAGATTCAACATGACTGTTCAGCGACAGCGTTTACATGTTGACGCAGATCTTTTCTAACCACCAAACATGGTTAACCCGCAATTAAAACAGCAAGACAGCAGCTTTGTGTACCTGAGGAACCAGAGAAAAACTATTTCACCTACATTTTGATCTAACCAAATCTGATCCACACACTGATCAACTAATATCTCCAAAACCTTAACAGAATCTGAATTCAATGCTATCAAAATGCTAGCAAGGTAAATTGTAACACATATAATTAGAACCTAAATGACAGAACATACTGTTGTTTGTATTGGCACGATTCTCTTCACTGTTGGCTCTGCAAGTTCATGCTGCAAAACTCTGCAAGCACTTTCAGCTTCAGCACATTTAACCGTTACTGGCTGTTGGTAATGCCGTCTATTTTTTCCTCTGTGGAGTCTACATGGACTGTGCTTTTCCTCACAGCTTAGCCCTTACTACAAGGCTCTGAGAACGTGTCCCTTCTACACTACTTTAATCACCTTGGAGATGATTATCCAGAGCAAAGCATACAACAGAGGCCCCTGTACCCTCTGACAGCATTACAACACATTGATCCCCTTCCCACAGACATGAAATCCTATACAAATATCACATGGGATTATGAATCTACCCCAGTTCGTGCGTGGGGCTTTGACGTGGCTTTTTGCCCTTGCCTGGGAACACAGTAAAGCCTTGGCAAAACAGGAATAGACCCTCCGGGGTGAGACAGTCAAGTACTCATTTTGTTTAAAGTTAACAGTTTGGATTAGAGTATTACTATTACAGTACTTTTATTTATCACTTGACTTTTACTGTAATGGTAACAGATGTTTTCATCAACATCATGTTATTTGAAGCCCTGGATTCTAAACTCAATATTTCATAAGACTGTTAAAAACGTATAACAAGTAAAAAAAAAGAAAATATGCATCAGGTCCTTTTAGCCTCGATAACCAAGGTTGGAGGACATAATATAAAACATGCGCACCAACATTTGTAAGTACATACAGTACATGGCCTTAATCCATACAGATTGCCTCAATCGCTCTTAATCTGAGAGGAAAAATAACATTTTTGTCACACAGGCTGGAGGAAGCACCTTTAACTATTTCACCACCCAAACAAATACAATTTGTCAAAAGGCGGTTGGTTATCAGGTAAATTAGACAATCGCATGAGCCACAGACAACGCTAAAAATGGTGGCTGGTGTTAAAAGCCCACCCCGGTTGTAACTCATAACAACTTCAAACTTTACTAAACTCTGAACTTTAATTTGAATGTGCATAGAATCATTTCACCGTGTCAAGACAGACACTGGCCACTATTGTAAATGGATAATGATTGTAATTTCTGCATTAAGTTATTGCATAATATTGAAGGCAGTTAGCTACAATGGACACAACAAAACTTAACAAGACCATGTCGCTCCAATGCATGAGATGCTCAGTTATCTCCATTTGACAGTGAAGACACACACACCGTTCTGCTCCTTCAGTTCTTGAACCGTGTCTGTTCACATATGTGGTTGAATTTCCTGAAATGAAAATAAAAAGAACAAACCACATAAATTAAGCGCTGCATTTAAAAACCCGAAGAGATGACATGAACCACCTTGCACAGCTCTTCAAAACAGCAGAATGAGCAACTATGGGACCGTGTTTATACAAGGACTCCTTCTAGTGGTAAAATAAGTGAACTACACGCAAAGGGCTGGTATTCAGTGTTAGAAAGAAATATTCTCAACAGATTTATAACCCCACAAGCTGTGGGCTCAGCAATAACATGGCACAAAAAACATCCAGCTGGCAATGAGAACAGGCTCTAATGGGTTTTTCAAATAAGCATCTATAAATGCTCAAGAAATCTAAATCCTAAATCTCATTAATAAATATGTTAAGTGCCAGTAAAAAAACTGTGGTTCAGAAAATATTTTATAACTGTGTCATTCCTTAAAATATGTCAATGTGATAGAACTGACATTTAATATGTTTATGCATGCAAGCAGATCCCTCTGCATTATGTATGGACAATCACAACTCAATGGATGGATCTGTGATGTTCATTGGTCAGCACAGAAAAAAAAGGCAAATGGAAAACTAATACAGTACAGTAGATAAGCATTTTAATATAATGCAACAATGTTGACCCTCAAAGTAGCGAGGACGCAAAGTGTCAGCGTTGCAGAGGGGATCACCATACAACTACCGGGGGCAGACGTGCTATCTTAGTGAGTTTATGTGGTGTTTTGTGTCTAATAAGACTTACATTGCATGATGTGCCTTCACCTGCGTACGACAGTTGCGTCCCCAGTAACAGTCGGGACGAGATGTTACAGCAGCTGAGGAAAAAGAAAAAAAGAGCATTAAGCAAAGTTATTACATGGGTATGACATACATGTTTAGGATAAGTGAAAATCGTGAAAATGAAAACTGTATTTTCCTTTGTTTGTCTAAGGTACCTAAAAAGTTGAACTTCCTCTAAAAATAATCTTGGTTTGTCTGACCTGGCAGCTCAGTTACAGGGATGTTCTGTCTGTACTTGTAGGCCAGCTCCTTGAATCCTCGCAGGCCACAGCAGAAGCACAGGATGGTGTTTGCAGAGATGCGGCAATCTGACAGAGTTAGAGAGGACAAAATCTTACCACTCTTTCTTTTTATATGTGGACTTGTATGTGCTACACTGCAGTGGGTTTTGATCTGAGGGCTCACCTGTCAGATAGTAGTTTCCATGCTGTAAACCCTCCAGAGCCTCCTGGAGAAGATCTCTCCATGACTTCCCTCTGGAGGACAGGTAGTTCTGGTGGGAGGATGGAAACACACACAGAAAAGCATCTTAACATCACACATGGCAGTATGTGCGGACGTACAGTCTCAGCATGTAAGTGGACTCTACAGTTTGCAGGTAGAAGCTTTAGCTGGTACATTTTGTAATATTCAGAGCTTATTTTGCTTAGATTAGCAAAAGGAGTTTGGTGGACACACAGATCCAAAGTGTCTTAGAGTATCACGTTTTTGCAGCAATTGCTTCAGTTTGAATCAATCACTCAAGATGTAAATAGCATACTTTACACTACTGACTTAATCAAGTAATTCATTGGAATATATAAATACACAGTCCATCTTACCTGGAGGATCTCTGATTCATAGTTATTGTTGTTTAGCACTCCATCCAAGCATTTGTCTGTCAGATTGAGCTCTGAAAAAAAAAAATATAACAGTGGATTTTTAAAAATACTACAAAGCGGGGCTTAGGACTTAGTCCTTACCGCAGCGGCCTGGGTCTGAACCATGGCCCTTTGCTTCATGTCATCCCCTCTCTTTCTCACCCCCAACTTTCCTGTGTCTCTCTCACTACTACTCTAATAAAGTAGAAAAGCCCCAAAAACATAACTTAAAAAAAAAAACAAACAAAAAAAAAAACTGCAAAGCACAAACATTTGTGGGAAACGCTGTGCTTTCAATTTGAGAATGACAATCATCAAAATTACAAATGTTGTAGTTGGACAGTATTCTGGATGGACATTTCCACCTCAATTAAAAGGTTTAATGGTAACAGACAAAGAACTCCCATACTGATCAAAGCCTGCTACCCAGCAATAAGGCTAACAGTTGAGATCCCCCTGGGGCTGTTTTTTGCTGAAACAGATACATACCGCTGAATTGAGCCAGACAGCCTTGACAGCCAATCCTCTGGCAACCCCAGTACATATGACAGAAGGGTCGCTGGCACAGTACACCTGCCAACAGACAAGACGTCACGCATACAAGGTGTATAATGGAGTTTATGAAACAATCTATCCACACATGTGAATGGATGGCAAAGTTGTACTTTAACTATCAGGTGGTTTTACATGCACTGCATACCTCAAAAGTATGTACATGAAATACATCTTTATACTGAAGAGCCTTACACAATTTAAGTTTTCTGATTGACAGTATATTGTTATCTATTAGATTTCTTCAGAGGGACTAACAAGTTCAGGGGCCACTCACATTGTTGGGCATTAACCTGCTGGCTGTTATGCTCAGCCCGTCTGTCTGGCATCGGCTGGAGACAGCAGGTGCAGATGAGATGGCAGCCCTGAGGGGGGCAGCGGTACTCCTGAGGAGCTGCGGACAAGATGGGGAGGGAGGGGGGGCAGAAAAAGGTTTTAGACAGGAGAATCATTTGTGCTGCAGTGGAAATACATTTTCCAGTTACAGAGCAAACAGCAACTCTGGCAGACTGCTTTTGGTAGGCTATTAGGATTATAACAGCAGACTTTATCCTGAAATTTACACTGAGTTCAAAGTCTAACTTTAGCTAGTCATCATCCCATCTGATCTACACTCGTAATCACCTGAGGGGACATCAGAGGATGTTGAAGGCTGCTCCCCTGTGGGCTTGGCAGACCCCTCCTCAGTTGCTGCTTTGGGTGGAGCAGGTACAGGCGGTGGAGCTGGCAGACCAGGGAACCAGTAATTTGAACCTGTAGCAAACAGCACCTGACTGACCTCCCTCCTGTAGCCAGGACACTGTCGGCACATCACTAGAGGCTGACTGGAGACAAAAACACATCAGGCAAATCATCACATGGAGAAATAGTTCACAACTAGTGCACTACAGTATGGTTTGCATTGATGGCTTTTGCCTGTCCCATGTCATGATATTCTTATGACATTTATGGTTTCATGTTTGTTTTTTTCTTACTGCACATTTATGAGTTCCACTGTTTTTATCAATGTTTTCATCTGATATATTTTACATGCAGTGTTTTATATAAATTGTTAATCATTACCTATGCAACACACTGTTAGAAATATTTTATAATGCATTTCCCACAAATTCAAACAGTCAGACCTTTTACCTGAAGTCTGAGGAGTCACTGTCATTGTCAGAGAACTCAAAGAGGTAATCTGAACTGCCCTCCTCATCAGAGAAAGAGCGCTCAACTTTTGGCTGCAACATGTCCTGAGTTATCTTGTTACGGCTGTCCATGCTCTTCAGATCTTCCTCGCTGCGACACTTTTCTGTGGGACAGAAAGGGACACACAAACAAATACACAATGTAATGTGCTTTTTGGGTAACATGAATGGTATGAGTACACCACTTTGGAAATTATACAAGGTAAGTAGCTGAGTTGCTTACATGCTATTGCTTCACTCTTGTTCTATGTAAATATGATGTTAGCTTTGGTAGAGGAACCTGGCATTTTGAATAAAATTAAGTGCTAATGTATCAGCACTAAATGGGCTATTAAACGGATCTTTATCCGTTCAAACCTGGGTGCTGGATGAGGTAAGCCTCAACCAGGTTGTTGAGGATGTGGTTTTTATGAATCCTCTCCACAGGGCAGCGACAGGTGGGGCAAAGCGAAGAACGCTCCATCCAGCCTGAGTAGCAAGCAGCACAGAAGACATGCATGCAAGGCTGCAAGCTAAAGCAAAAACAAGAGACTCAGAGTTATTCACATGCATGTGTTTGCAAAGTGCCTTACAAGATCACAAAATAGGGCTCAAGCATCTATCCTTGGATATCTCGGCCTCTGAGATCTTACCCAACACAGTCATGCAGTAGGTCCTGGCAAATGACGCATGTCAGAGTCTCCTCCATTTTGTCTGTTTTAGTCCCTTCCACTGGAGGTTTAGACAAAAGACTCCCAAGACTTCCCTTAGCTGAACCAACGACCTCTGTACTGGATGTGTGTGGCAAGCTTGACTCAAAATCTTTATCTGTAAACACAAAGTGTATATTACATGCTACACAGAGGCATTCATGGGATTTGTCTGGTTTGGCTTACAAAAACCTTCCAAGCTAGACTTAAACTTGAAAAGAAGTTTTTGGAGTTTAAATTTAAATCTGCTGTGAATAATCAAGGAAAACCAGCTTGATATGGAAGTAAAAAAAACTAACCATTGTCTTTTTTCCTCCGCTTGCTTTCTGGCTCCATGTTATCCATGTCTTCTTTAGCTTGGCCTGATAAAATGGAGGAACAACAGACCTGGGTCAAATATAGTGTTAATACTTAGTATGTAGGTGATGAGAGAGTTTAGTTGAAAAATTTTAGACTAGGGATGAATCATATAATAAACAGTGAATGGAGGAGTTGGCTCCGCAAAATGAGCTACTTCTGTAGTATGGAAGTGGTCTGATAACAATAACCTGAAGATAAAAGAGCGTTGGTGCTAATACATACAACAATAGCCATTCAGTCCATCGTCTAGTCACTATTACTGACCACAAGGCAAATCATGTCAGGATCTGATTCAATGAAGTTGGCTGTCATTGTATGTTCACTTTGTGGGCGTTTAGTCAGAGCAGCATACCCCCCCCCCCCCAAAATGTAAAGGTTTGGAGAAGTGTAGGGAAATGGCTCAGTTAGTCACAATAAAGTTGAGATTTGTGAGGAACAAGTCACTGCACGAAGCAGCTCTGCATCTGTCTGCTCCATTAACATCCTGCAATTATATATAATTATTACAAATCTAATACAATAAATATGCTGCAATATCATGATATTATTTAGATATTATTTAAGGCCCCACCAATGACCCTTCTTCAACAGTGTGTTAGCAGAGAACCTACCAGAGGCAGGAGAGGCTGTTGTTGCCATGGGACCAGAAGTGAGAGGGCTCTCAATACAGAAGTGGGAAGCGGAGGTGGAGGGCTGAGGTTCCTCCTGAGTTGGAGCCTTTGTGAGCATTACAGGCTCTACAGAGAGTGACATCTCTGAAGCTGGAACAGGAGCAGGACTGCAGGCTGGTTTGTCCATGTCTGAAGTTAAGATAGAGTGTAAGGGGGAGGGGGGTTACTAATGAGGCACAATGTAGCTGTGGCATAAAGGTGGTTGAACTAAACACTACTTACCATAACTATGTTGTGAAACAGCCTGCTCTGTTTTGATTGAGTGGTAAACATAGGCGATGTCTACAGGGTGACAAGAGAGGAAGTTGTCTGTCTTTCCTTATTATAAATTCATATAAATACTTTATTCTCACGGCTAACAAAATGAACAACTCACTCTGTTCAGGCTCACTTTTCCTATATACAAAGTAGATGACATCACCATTCTGCAGCATGTGAGTTTGCTTTTTGACCAGTTTGGACGTGTTGATCACCGTGCCATTAGTGCTGCAGATAAAAAAACATGCAATTAGATTTCACTGTACACTGTAAAGGTTTCTTGTGTTTGCTTTATGAAAGGACGAGTACCTAATCATACATAAGTAGACACCTGAACAGCTCTAAAAATACATTTAAATACTTTCAACACGGTTTCTTTAATGTAACTTCTAATCAATAGTGCCCCACAGAACTCATATCATTTAGCTTTAGCTCATTGGGAAGCTAACACATGATACATGCATCATTTCTGTGCTACAGTTGAGTTCACATTCAGCATAGAGTACCTCATGTCTTCAAGCCACACCAGCCCTGAGCTTTCATCTTGCACAATCTTGCAGTGCTCCCCTGAGACCAGTTTGCTGGCCGGAAATGACAGGTAACATCCTAATAATAAATAGCAAAATACCAAATCACCACCATTAAAACACAGAATGGACAATACAGGTTACAGGAGTATAATGGGTAATATATTTATCTGTTAATGATCTTGAAAACAAAACAAATTTGCAGCAATTTTGGCTGATATGTCGATACAGGTCTACAGCCTAACTTTTAAATATATAATATTTGAAAACAAATATATTGAAAATTCAACCGCATACCACTGTGATTCACCTGAAACTGTGTTGCCATGACATTTTTAGATCTATTAATGCTCAGACATAAGCTAACCAATTAAGGCTAGATGCTTTGCATTGCAAAGAAGTAGACCCCAAAAGCTCTCAACAAAGGAGACACTGGGGGAAATATAGGCCTAACCTTTTCTAAAGCAAAACCCATACAAAAAAAATCTACTTAATATTCCGCACACATGTTCTCAATGGATGCCTTTTGTTATCATCACAAGGGGCTGTCTAAGTTTGGTGCACTAAAGAAGGCTTTGTGTTTTCAAGGGGGAGGTTTTAAAGGCCCTAGACACTGGCGGTAATGTCTACGCTATAGACAGTCTTTTATTAATAGGTACCCCACATTTTGAGCTTTTAAAAGCAAAATTAAAAAAAAAAGTTTAAGTTTTCAGAAATAAGACATAAGGTGAAGAGAAATCTCTGCTGTTCATTCCACGACATCCACAAACTAACTGACCTTTTTTTCTGCCAACTGTGCATTCCCTGTTAAAAAGCAGAACAGTTTCACTGGAGTCCACTTTGACAAGCTTCCCCCATGGTCGTCCCCTCCTACTACTGTCCATCTCACGATGTCTTTTCTGTATGGAATTAGAAAAAAACAAGACGGGAAATGTTTAAACAAATACTCTTCTCAATGTAGGTATTTGGCGTCATTGTTACTGTTGTGCCATTATTTTACTATTATGAGCACGATAGTTGCATGGTAGCAAAGAGAAAGTGAAATTAACCATCAATGTGGCGTTGTTGCCCGTTAAATTGGGTCTGATGGCAGATGTCAAATTAGGTACAAAAAAAATCTGAATTTTAAATTATGAGAAGACATACCCTGATAAAACAAGATATATCCTCTTTTAAAAATGAATCCACACACCGCTTCTTACTTTCGGTATTCGCTCAAAATCAATCAATATCACTTTGCATTGATTGACTTTGCAAGTAAGATTTCATCTTACGGAAATGTAAAGGTTTTAAATCCATTTCTTTTCAGTCAAAACATCACAAATCTTATTTACCTTAAGTAGCCAGTTATGAGATTGAATTTGATCTTAAATCCAATGCTGTTGGATATGTCATGTATTATGTATGCCGAATTCACAAGTGCACGCTAAGGGTTCATAAATGACGATGAGCAAAGTTAAGATAGACATGCAGCTAAATACGCAAGACAACATTAAACTGGGGAGTTTCTCATGAAGTTTGGCAACGAATCTACTAGGGCGAAATCTGCTAACGAGACCTAGCTAAACTTGGCTTTTCTGGGCTTACTAGCTATCCGGTGTTATTAGCCGACTTTGTCGTGTGACATACTGGGAAAAACATCAAGTTGTTTCAATCGTCAACTAACAGTGTGGGGAAATGTTTCATTGGTGTTGATATTACAACAGTTTACGTGAACACACACAACTTCGTTCACACTAAGCTAACGCGATAGCTAACATTAGCAACCCACCATACCGTGTATCTAAGAGAAAATCTGGATTACACGTTAACCACCAGAAACCCCCTTAACGATGTGCTTATCTCATGTCTGAAACGGTTACTTTACCGTCAAAAGCTTAGTTTGTTGTCCCAGTAGCTCTGTATAAAACAGCTTCTTGTCCTCATGTTCCAGCTATACGCACAAGACAAGACACTTCCTGCCAAGCTAAGGGTTGACAATGTGTATCAGCTGATGGAGGAGGGGCAGTTTGGGTTTGTGTTTGAAAGTTCACGTTTATACATGTGCTGCTGAGGCTGCCATCCACAGAGCTAAACCACACACTGTAAGCTGGTAGGTCTACTATAAGTGTCACATGCTAAATTTGACGAAAACAAAAATGCAATTGATGGCTCAAATGCATGTAGGAATTGTCACTATTTTATCAGAGGAAAATGGACATATATGATAAATGTAATTAAAAAAAATGGAAAATAAAGAAAGTGTATTTGGGACTAATATGCTTTTGTGACAGCCAGCAGTGCCTGCAACAATTAACACAGCATTTAGCCAGAACCTAGTGCACAAAATGCACATTTGTGACACCTGGACAGAAGGACATGGACTTTCACTGCACATAACACTATGGATTATTTTCGATCCATACAATGTTACCTGTTATAGTCACATTATATTTACCATGCTGTATATGTATGATGTGTAACACCTCTCTATTTTTACTTTTTTCATGCTTCATATACATTCAGTAAATGCACATGACTGAGTATTTTAGGTTTTTGTGGTTACACTGACGTTAATTTCCCTTCATTCATTACCAGAATATAAAAGTATGATTGACCAAAATTCTTTTTCCCAGCTTCTCATATTTTCTTTGCAGCTTTTTGGATTCAATAGATATCAGTCTGGCCTAGGTTAAGACATTACTGACACTCCTTGTCTGCAGCTATTGGCTGCTGGAGCCAACATGGATTGTAGACTGGTCTACTTGAGGAATTAAGGAGGTGAAATTGTTGTGGGAACTCCTTTGAAAAACCGAAATGGTTGACTAATAAAAAACAATAATGAAAGGGCCATATTTAAGAACCAACAAGCAACAAGTAAGTACACCTTCATTAGTAAGAGTCCATTCTTTTCTTTTATTCTTGTGTGTCTGCATTTATTTTTTATGACCAATTCAAACTCGTTGGCAGCAAAGATACCAGCCTTGCACAAATCTGTAGAGAGATGTTCTGCCATTCTTCACACATGATTTTTTTCAGCTGCTCTCTGCTTGTGGGGTTTTGTTGCTCCATCTTCTGCTTTTCTATTGGACTTACCTTCAGGAACATGGGCCAGGTTGTAGATCTCTCTTTTTTCTTCTGTACAAACTCATGTCTGATTTTTTGCAGTGTGTTTGGGATCATTGTCATTATCTACCTCAGACTGGGAGTCATCTTGTCATAGAAAAACTTGCACTCACAGTGCCAGCTATGTCATCTCACCTACACCTTTTACAGTCATGCAGCCCCATATCAACATGTTCCCCCTCCTCCCCGTCATGATCGGCCCTACGTAGTCATGGTGATAGTCCTGGCCAGGTCTACATCAAACACGCCAGACCTCATCTGATCCAAACAAATTTATGTTGGTTTCATCTCACCAAAGAATGTGCTGCCAAGATTCATCAGACTTCTTTTTATGGTTTTCCAGCAAAGTTAAATCTTGCAGTTTTGTGAGCAATGGTTTTCTTCTTCGACGCCGTCTGTAGAGCTTCATTGAATGTCCTTCACACTGTCTGATCAGTCACTGAAACACCAGTTTCCACAGATAATCCTTGATGCAAGTCACAAGGACTTACCCACTTGTTTTTCAATGCAAGGCTCTATAAGTAGCGAATTATGCGTGGCGTCCTGTTACAGGCAGTATGGCCTTTCCTGTACCTCGTAACTACTGCTGCAGCTGTGTTTTGGCTTATGTTCAGTAGCCTGCTGACGCTCTTGTACCCTCTGCCATCTTTATGAAATCTCACAATCTGGTGTCTTACTTGATCAGGCGAGTCCTTACCATGTGTGTCCATGTTGTATTAGACATAACCCAGACCAAAAGTGAGGAAGCAATTAGCTTTAATTGGAAACCACAGGTGTAGCCACCTTTATTGAATCATTTAACATAGTGATATTGCACAGGAGTGTCCTCAGTTTTGTTGTATACTGTATAGAAGAAGTGCCACCAGGACGCCAGGTGTGCCACAAAGTACAAGGGCCTTTATTAAACCCAACAGTTCTCTCTTGGGGCCTCCCTCTTCCATCATGGGGCTGACTCATTGTACTCTGAAATCTGGAGGATTTCCTGCAGACCCTTTAGGGTGGCAGTGTCTGTGCTGCTTGAGAACTGATGCCCTCAAATATTGCATCCACAGCCTTTATCACAAATACTTATAGCAGGGAAGTGCTGATAAGATCCACCATGCGCTTCTCTGCCTACAGCACATCATCACTGAAACTTACAATTTCCTTAAATGCTGTCTCCATCTCCTCCTCAGTTAAATGCTTTTCAGCAGGAGCACAGGAAATAGTGGGAAAATTGTTGTTCATGGGACGAACACTATCATCTTCTTCATTCTAAGAGCAGTCACGCTGAAATGTTGCTTCAGTGTCTTCAGCTTCTTTTGTCCACTATTGGCTTCAGCTCTGGAGCACAGCTGCAGTCTTCTCTTTTTACTATGTTCAGAGGAGCAGGTTTCTCCACAGAGTCTGCAGGTTCAGACTCAAGGGAAGACTCCCCCACTGCTCCCTCTTTGCCAAGAACTCAGTGTTTCCTGCGGAGTTCCAGCAGCTCCTGCAGCATCCAGCTAATTCTGGATGAGGTCTTCCTCTTCTTGACAATCTCATCCAGCTTGTGGAAATATCCATCAGCGCAATGCTTGGCTTTTACAAGGTCCAGCTGTTGGCCACTGATGTTGAAGAGATGAATCAGACACATGATTGATGCAGTCATGAATAATGACATTCTTTAGCAGCCGGATTTTAAACAGCCCCCCAATGAATTTGACATTTGCAAACAAACTCTGGCAAGCCATTGTTTCATTTGGCTGCACCTGTACATGCTCGTCCCCCTGCAGACAGATACGAGTAAACATGAATATCTGACCGTACTCTGGGTCAGAATCAAGATAAATTATTGGATTGGTTTAATCAAAACAGACGAAGCAAGCCTTATTAACTAAATAGCACAGAAAGAGCCTGAAAGTGAAACTCACCCCAAACTTTATGTCCATAAATGTAACCGGACTCCATTTTCACTTATTTCCAGAAGATATTTCCAAAGGAAGACATAACACAAAATCTGAGATTAAAAATTCATTCCATTCAGTCCTTAAAGTTTTTAGAAAAAAATCTGCAATTTTGGACTCCAGTTGGGGAGGATTTTGTGATAAGCATCAGAACAGCTTCATAGAGTACTGTGTGTTGAGACTGAAATATTCTGTAAACAATGTACCTGTACGTTTATGTGTTATATCATTTAGTTTTCTTTGTGATGTAGAACCAACCGACCTTCGTCGTTCATTATAATACATGAGTTTTGGTTTCCTCTCTTCAGGTCTACTGGGCTGAGTAGGTTAGAGGGAGCTTCGGTCTTCTTAGATGCAGAAAGCTCCCTCTGGTTGACCCTCTGTATATTGTTCCTCTCGATAGCTGACGTTTTGGAAGCAGTCACTTCTTTCCACCTGAAGGATGTTGACCTCTCCACAAACCCAACAGGTGGCTTGTTCACCTCCTTCTTGGTTGGGCTTTAGGGCTGCTGAGATTTTTGAGGCTCTTCAACACCACAGATGGACTTCTCTGGGTTGTGGATGTTTTCAGAGGTACATTGACTATTTTTCCTGTTAAAAGAGGCTGACCTCTCTTCAAACACAACTACGGGGTCCCCCCTGATGTCACCTGTTCTTGACCATCTTATTAAAAAAGTTCCTCTCAAACATTGTCAGAGGGACTGACATGAGAGTAAATTTCACCATCTTCTTTTTATGTCCTCTATATGAAGGAATGACAAAACAGGTTGTTCCCAAAGGCAGTAAGTTTTCCAGCTTTAACAAAGAAACCAATTACAACATATAGAAGTAAAGAGAGGCGATCAAATTGATGAATATCTATGTGATATAAATAAACAAATCATCCTTCCAAGTAAATAAATGACAAACTAAATGTGCAGTAAAATAATCACCACACTTTCTGCCTAATTATGTCTCTCAAACACTTTATCATAAATGTTATAGTCACTCATTATATCAATGCGTGATATCAAACAGATAGCGATACTATAATTGAAAAAAAATCTGTGAATAAAGTTACATCCAAAGTGTATGTGTCATGCAAAAATCAAACAGTCAATCAGAAAGAAAAAAACCAAGAGAAAAACTCTGGTAACAGTTAAATTATCTGTTCATATCCAGAAAGTGTATCTGTATCAGATCATGCAGAAACACTGAAGAAGTGATCCACACACACCTCTTAACTCATATACAGGTATGTAACAGCGCACAAAAATCACAGTTCAACATCTCCTGCAGTTTGGGGGTTACATGGGACACCATGTTTTCTTAGTAGGATCAGCTCACTTTTTTTGGTTGGCTTTTCATGAATGAAATGATTATTTTTAATATTATACTATTATTTAAATTAAAGTTTAATAAAGTTTATTTAGGAGCCTTAGGCACCTTTTACAGAGCATAGTCCCAAAGTGCTTCACAAAAGTTAAATTATTAAAGACCACAAAAGAAAAGAGAGAGGAAACTTGCCAGCTGTCAACAGAGACTGCAGAATGTATATCTATCCGCAGATCATTCCACAGTGTCGGAGGAGCCACAACTTCAGAAGCTTGATCACCTTTTGTTTTTGGGGATGGTGCAGGTCAGAGATGTACGCAGGTGGCTGACCATGCAGAGCTCTATATGTAAAAACAAGCACCTTAAAATGAATCCTAAACTTGACTGTAAGCCAGTGTAAAGATGATAGGATGAGTGTGATTTGAGAAGTCCTGCTGGACCTGGTCAACAACTTGCAGCAATGTCTTGGACCAATTTGCAGACTGTCCAGACTCTGAGACCACCTGCTGAGGCAGGTAAAAAGGGACTTGCAGTAGCCAAGATGATATGAAAATGTAAATAATCATCTGTAGCTCTGGTTGCGATATAATAGACCTGAGTCCAGCAAAGTT